TGAAAGCTTCTATGGCCGTACATTGAGGTTGAGAATGCAATATTATGGAACCTCGAAATGCTGAATATATAGTCAAGATTGTTTGAATGTTATTGACTTCGGAAGCTCTCTTGACATGAACGATTCTTAGGTCATAATATTCTCTAGCGCGAAGCATTTCCCTATAGTCACTCAGTTTCGACTCGGCCTTACTAGTCGAGCAAGCTGATGCAAGCAACGGGATATCCTCTCCCTTGCAAAAAAGAGACTATCCATCGTTGCTGAGTCCAAATTATCCACGCAGCGGGGATTCCTCCTTCCATACCAACTGTTTTGGGGATATGATATCGAGTCGTCATTACCGTCGCGTCTCCTACGGAGGACAGGGATATCCTGATTCAACCTTCGGTGAAGAGGGAAACTACCCGCCGTCAGATTGAAACTGTGGAGTCTGATAGCTGCAACAGTGAAGTCAACCTGCCAGCAGTGGCTTGCCGGCTCCAATAAGTGCATAATCATAATGCGGGGGAAGTGCCTGGGTTGTTCTGTGATCTCAGTAGACATCGTTTGCTGAAGCAGGTTTTCTGGCGTACCGAGCGACTTTCGGAATCCGATTATTGACCGTTGGATTTCTTTTAGATGCTCAAGACCACAGTCTTCGGAGTTGAAGAACACTTGCCGACGGAGGAGAGACCATTTTGGCGCCCTCAAGCTTGATCCGAAACGATGATCGTACCATACAAGTGTGGTCTGTGGTTACATTTCTTAGTTGACAGAAGTTACATTTGACGAGCCGTCTAAGATGTGTGGATCTGCCTGCCATGATATACCTTGCGTGGGGTAACCTTATGCCGAAGACTAATATACCGGTTCTGATATAACGGCTTTGCTATAACGGCATAACGGCACTGGTATAAAGTCTTTAGTATGACGGCTTTGTTATAGACTTGCTGTGCACAGTAATCAGTTCTGACGCCTGAGTAGATGAATGTACCATCTATCTACGGTGTAGTATTTACTTAAATGTTCGTCTCAATTCTCAGGCTCAATAGATTGAACCTACGGAGCATGCTGAGCAGATATCTACTCTGCACGACGTTCGCAGACTGCAGAGTGGAGTGGATCATCTCTTCCTTGCCCCATAGTCTCCGTACTCCGCATTTCGGTGAGTCGACTGTCCCTGACTCCCTGGACCTGCAGCGAAGACACTTCTGAATATTTAGCTATTACTCTGTTTGAAACTCCGGCATTCAAGCCTTCCTCTTAAACGAGTTAGGCTGATGACCTCCTGCATACTACAATGCTGCTCTATCCCGGTCAGGAGCCGACTTCAAGTCACATTCGCCGAGTCATCTGGCGTCTCAGTCACATTGACATCTCCTGCACGGGGTGGACGTGGCTTTTGAATAGTGTCGGAGGCTTGCCGCTTGGTTCAAAAAAGGAATGGCACGGCGAATCAAAGCAAATCGAGTCGGTTTAACATTTACTTTAAAATAATATTTCTTTCATTCAGGACCAAAGATTCATGCCGATCAGCCAACCTACGGAGGACTATTTGAGAATTCGAGATGGATCAACCCCCTGATCGGAGCGCGCTCTCACCTCAGTGGCTGAAGGAATCTCTACGACGACTCAGTCACCACCATGGCATATCACACCGTCACACCGTATGCCCAATTTTGCTTCTCGAATTGATTGCGTTGCTTCCTCGGAGACGTGTCTTCGACTAATCACTCATGATGACGGGGTTCAAACCATGTCACACCGTCCACTCCGCCCTGTTCTTCAGCCGTCTTCCCCAGCTTTCTCCAGCAAGAATGCCGCTTTGAAAAGGAGGTATTTCCCAATACGGCAATGCCATTTTCTCTTGTCCATGTAAACGCCGCCTGTGGCGTTCGGCTTTTCCCTAGCCCTCCATCGTGTCATGCCTGATGTGGAGATTTAGGGTAGGCCCGCTGACACCTAAATGAATATGAATGCTTTGGTTGGCTAGGGGGGTTATCCTGAAGACACGTCCACTTTATGTCGTGCTGAAGCGGTCGAATTTGAGAGTGTGACACTTCATATGCAGTACGTTGCATATAAGAATGCGCAAATGCCCCGACTATTGTGATGAATGGCCCCTTCTTCATCATCCTACTCTCGACCAACCTGAGTTGCTTCAGGAAACTCCAAAATGCATGTCAATTGGCTTGCTGCTTCTGTTTGGCTCTTTGCCGGAGCGCGCGCCCAGCTTTTCAGCAGCCCTATTCGGAGCCCCTCGGCTGCACCATCCTCGAGTGCGTCGGGAGTGATCAGCGCCTCCCCGACAGTTGCGGCAGCTGTAGGGCACTCTTCTAACCTTGCTGCAGCCGCAGCTGCAGCGGTTGATGATCCGGCATACTGGCTTGCGGACATCGCTCATCAGGGTATCGCGGCCTTCAATCCAAACCCTTCTTCATACAAGGTCTTTCGCAATGTGAAGGACTATGGTGCTAAAGGTGTGTCCACGCGTAACGATACTGGCAGTCTGTGTTCTTATCGTAATTCCCAGGTGATGGCGTAACGGATGATACTGCTGCGATCAACGCAGCTATGAGCGATGGCGGCCGTTTCTCCCCGGCGAGTCGCGACTCTTCAACTACAACCCCTGCGATTGTCTACTTCCCAGCCGGCACTTATATAATCTCTTCGTCGATCATTGACTACTACTTTACCCAGATTATTGGCAATCCAAACTCGCTTCCTGTCATCAAGGCGACGCCAGGATTCACAGGACTAGGTCTGATAGACGGCGATCAATATCAGAGCGATGGTAACCAGGGTTGGATATCGACGAATGTTTTCTTCAGGCAAATTCGCAATTTGGTCCTCGACCTGACTGCTATACCTGCGGGCACTGCTGCCACCGGTATTCATTGGCCTACCGGGCAAGCTACGAGCATTCAAAATGTCCAGATCAGGATGAGTTCTGGCGCCGGGACGCAGCATCAAGGTCTTTTCATTGAGAACGGTAAGCCGTAAATCTGTTCTGTACGAAGCGAGGCACAGCTGATTATTTCCTAAAGGATCTGGCGGTTTTGTAACCGACGTTACGACCGTAGGCGGTTTGTATGGGTTCAACATCGGAAACCAGCAATTTACCATGCGTAATCTGCACATTTCAGACGCCGTTGTTGGTATTTCCCAAATTTGGAACTGGGGCTGGACATACCAAGGACTCACTCTGACAAACTGCACCACGGCCTTTTCGATTGCCAACGGCGGTCCCGGAGCTCAGCTGGTTGGATCTGCCATTGTACTTGACAGTACGATTGAGGACTGTCCTGTATTCGTTGAGACAGCCTGGCAGAGCTCGAGCCAGAGCAATGGTAGCTTGATTCTGGAGAACGTGGCCCTCAACAACGTTCCCGTGGCTGTCAAGGGCCCAAGTGGAACAGTCCTTGCCGGGTCAGGGGGGGCCATGACCATCAGCGCGTGGGGTCAGGGGCACAAGTATACTCCTTCCGGGCCGACCAACTTTCAGGGTGCAATTACTGCGCCAACAAGGCCCAGCGCTCTACTGTCTGGTGGAAGATATTACACCAAGTCAAAGCCGCAGTATGAAGCTTCTTCGACTTCTTCGTTCCTGAGCGTACGAAGTGCTGGAGCTAAGGGCGATGGCTCTACTGATGACACTGCCGCAATTCAATCTGCTCTTACCACAGCAGTGGGTTCAGGACGAATTGTCTACTTCGACCAGGGTGTGTACAAGGTGACTGGCACACTCTACATCCCCCCTGGCTCGCGGATTGTAGGAGAAGCATATCCGGTCATCATGGCTAGCGGAAGTCAGTGGTCCAACATCAACCAGCCTGTGCCGGTGATCCAAGTTGGTAAGGCAGGCGAGTCTGGAAGCATCGAATGGTCAGATATGATCGTCAGCACGCAAGGCTCGACGCCCGGTGCCGTGCTTATTGAGTGGAATTTGGCGGCAAGTCAAGGCTCAGGCATGTGGGATGTTCACACACGAATCGGGGGATTTGCGGGTTCAAACCTACAAGCCGTACAGTGCCCGACCTCAGCAGCCGTCTCGGCAGCCTGCGAAGCGGCTTACATGTCGATGCATATCACGAGCAGTGCCAGTAACGTCTACCTCGAGAATGTTTGGCTGTGGACGGCCGATCATGACCTCGACAACGGTGGCGATACCCGGATCTCCGTCTACACTGGCCGTGGCTTTCTGGTAGAAGGAAAGAATATTTGGCTGTAAGTCATAGGTCCGCTCGCAGGTTTTTGTCTTCAAACTGACTTCAGCTTCAGGTACGGTACCGGAGTTGAGCACCACTCGCTGTATCAGTATCAGTTCTCGGGCTCTCAGTCTGTTGTTACCAGCTTCATCCAGACAGAAACACCGTGAGTTATAATTGCCGTTTCAATAAGAATTATCTTACTGACCAAATCAGATACTACCAACCTAACCCCAACGCAGCCAATGGCCCATATCCCAGGAACACCGCTCTGAACGACCCAGACTACAGTAGCTGCCTACCCGGGAACTGCGATGCGCTCGGTCTCCGGGTCTTGAACAGCCAGAACACGCTGATCTACGGTGCAGGGCTCTACAGTTTCTTCAACTCCTATAGCACCTCCTGCTCCGACTACCCGGGCGGGAAATGCCAGAGTGAAATCTTTAGCATCGAGGGTAGCACCAGCGGGCTGGTCGTCTACGCTCTAAGCACCGTGGGAACGACGAACATGATTGTGAAGGACGGGGTCTCACTGGCGGTGTACAGCGATAATCTTGCTACATACGCGGACACGATCGCCTATTTCACCTTGTAGCTGTACCATCCCGCAGCTTACTATTCTTTCTATTCTTAGCTTCGGCTGCTTTCTCTTCTTGCATATCGACACTGTCGTTTCCTTCAATTGTCCATCTTCCAGACACTTGAACTTCATGTGAATACAAATAAAATGATAGGACATGTGTATTCGTTATATAGCAAATAAATACATCGTCGAGAAAAAAGCGATCCGAAAAAGCGAGCACGAAGGGGTATCTATAGCTTAGCCTTGCTTTGCGCCTTCTTCAGCACAGGCTCCATCTTCGTCGCCTTCATGATATTCCCCTTGATCTTGAGCTTGCCGCCCATGAACAGCCGCTGCGCATTCGCCTTGCCGCTAACCAGGGAAGCGAAGTCGGCGTCGGAGAGGGAAAGAGTCACTATTCATTCAATTCACTGGTCAGCCTGAAACCCATCCAACCCACTCCACTGATTTTTGAAGTGAGGGATGTAAACGAACCATCAGCCTTTCCACCGGCGGGGGCAGCACCCTTGCCGACGACGCCCTTGTCCTTGAGATCGAGGTACCAGCTCTCCTCCTGGCCGGAGGCGTTCTTGAGGTTAAACGCGACGATTGCCTTGGCGTTCTTGATGGCGTCTTTGCGCTCGGCTTCGTCGGACTGGAGGGCGGAGTTGATCACGTCGAAGGCGGCGGAGGAGGGGAAGGCGTCTGTTGTTTTCGTCGAGGTCTTGTTAGTTGGGCTTGCACTCGTGGTGGTTGGGTGGTATGGAGATGACGTACCGTTCTTGAGAGACATGGTGATGGATTGTATGTCTTTTGGGGTGTTGAGGGTTGGATGAAGGAGTGATGAATAGTTGGTAGTACGAGGTCAGTTACGATAGAAGGAGAAGGAGCCTGGGGATATTGTTCTTCTTATTAGGTCGTTATTTAGCTGGGATTACGATCAGCTTTCCCCGGAGAGTTCGGGGCAGGCATGTGAATTCCGCTGGGGCGGTCGGGGATCTCCATAGCATTGGCGCTGTCAGCTTTCGAACTTGCCGAGGCTGGAGGCTCCCTGTGATTGATCGCTGAGATTCCATGGAATGGGGGTAACCTTCAATTTCGGATGATGCATTCTGACATTCTATCATTTATTCATGCAGATGATCTTTTCAAATTGAGACTCTCGAAGACGGAGTATGGATGGAGGGTGTAGATATGCATCTCTACAGAACAATATATATATCGTCAGACTAAGGGACTTGTTCCATTACAATCTGGCAGCACTCAGAACAGTACTTGAATCCAGGAACAGACCAGCAATAGATTGGCTACGGCACAATACTGATGAATCCTCCCCACTCCATGCCTATCTGAGTGGCTTCGACCATACTCAGAACAGAAAGCGATGCGAGAACTTACTCAACCTAGTCTCAACGACCAGCACAAGCATTTGAGAAATCCACATGGGCCGGCTTATTTGCCGATGCTTCCTCGTTACACGGTTAGATTGTTCTTCCAGACATGGCAATGACGGCACCAAAGAACGTCCTTGACGCCAATGTGGTCGATGCGAAAATGGATATAGGAAAATGATCGTGTGCTCGAGATCCTATACATATATAATGACGCGCTACCAGCCAGCATAATTGATCGCATAGTGGTCCTCTTAGGAAGTTCTTGCTAGGATAATCCTAGCCTGTAAAATCAAGTACAATGTCTGCTCGATATCGACATAAAGAGGATCTACCCTTGTAGCAGTCGATGGGTTAGATGGGAATTACGGCTGCGAATCGACTCTGTGATTGAGGAATTTGTTAAATCCTCAACAGGGGTGAGACCACGTTTTGCGAAAGCCATATTGTATGGCCCGACCTAGACAAGTCTCTGCAGACTGCTCCGTACGACCACTTTGCTTCAAGATCGTAGAAGGCGACCATTTCTATTCAAATTATGAAGTGAATCTGAACGTCATTATTGTGAGTTGTTCTAAGAGGTATTCGTCCTTGATGAGCTTGTTCCATTTTAAGGCGTCGTCAGAATGAGAGATAACTAGCAAAAAATCGACATTTCTCAATGGAACCATGGATATTGTCAGTCATTGAAACTTCTGGAGTCATTATGACCAGAATCACCCTCAATGCGTCGACCTGTCAACAATAACCTGAGTGATTGAAAGAGAAATCAATGAAGTGAAAAAATTGATCCAGTGAAGTATCCGCGCTGTCGCCACCGTGTTGGATACATCTTCTTCCAGCTCACTACTCTGATTTTAAAGTCACACACTCTTTGAATCTTGAATTGCGCTGGTCAGAGAAAGCAACAGAGGAAGTCAGATCCTCTGTCTGTGACTCCAGGATTGCTCAGCCTTCCCTCACTCTTTGTCTCGACATCTCTCGTGTTGTTTTATCTCTGTTGCTTTTTTCTGCCAAGAAGGAACACCAGAATCCTTAACCCATCAACTCCTTAGAGTCTCTTCAACTGTTTACCATCTTCTTCAGTTCTTTCCAATGTCACTCATTTGACGTCTATCGAGATTAGTAGACAGTTGATTGAACTTTTTTCGCCACTTGGCTGGCGAATCTCTTACACTCTAGGCGACAAGCTGTTCTCGACAGGCTGGGAGCCTCCACGCAAGCATGACAAATATCGCGGAGGATGCGTCCATTGACGATCTCGAGGACGATCTTCAACTGCATCAAGTCATTTTGCAAAGCTTAAACGAGCAAAGGCCAAGTGCTGTCGAAGAAAGACAAGAAATACTCGACATTATCAGAGACTTGGAGACGCGCCTTGCGCGGCTGCGTCGGGGTGGCCAAGCTACTAAAACACGTTCTCCGGTTTCCCGTTCAGGTACGCCTGGGTCGCCATTGTCTCAGGCACAGCTAGATGGCGCCGCTCTTCCACGTTCAAACGGTGCTTTGAGTCCTCCTCAGTGGGGGAGCTCTGCTCTGTCTCCTCCGATACGGCCATATCAGCCTGCACTTGACATAAGCCCATATCGACCTGGACTTCCCATAAGCGTAGGTCGTCCCTCAGGGAGAATATCAAGTGCGTCAGCAGATAATGCTAACAGTAACAAGAGATCGAGCTCATATGGTTATGACGATGATGACCTAGATCGGCCACTTCGAGGAGGATCGACGCACACACGTGTTTCCTCTAGCTCTGCGATGTCCGCTTCGAGGGAACCTGCAGGTCTTCCTCTGGAAGCTGAATCCAGTCGGAAGCGTCGGCGTCAGAGTTCTAGCGGAGACCTTAACTTTTTACGGCCACAGAAGCGAGCGACAGACGACAGACGTCCTTCTAACTCTAGCACAGCGTCGTCTCACACTCATCAGAGCCAATTGAACGATGAGTCTGAGGAACTGAAGCGACTTTTGGGCTTAGACAATGACGATACTCTGCGCGCACTCCAGGAAGAGCAGAGAAAAGCAGAGCAATGGCTCGAAGAGCGAAAGGAGCAGGAGCGTCGTGACGAAGAGTATGCCCGTATGCTCATGAACGGGCTGTATGAACCTCCTCGTCCAGCCTCAGCTCGCAGCACCGCCTCTACGAATTATTTACGGTCGTCCATCCAGTTTCCTTCTGAAGCTCCCCTGGTATATCGCGGCGAAGCCGGACCATCTTCCATTCCTGAGCATCGTTCCATCAATACGCCACTTGTGGATCGTCTCGTGGATCGTTCGCGCTCATCCTACAGCATTCCGTCAACGCCTGAATCGGGACATTCAGAAGTACAGCATCTACCACTTATTACCTTGCGCGATAGTGATGACAGCGATATAGCAGAGATCTCACCCCGAGATTTCCACAGTGGTCAGGCCAGACCCCAAAGCCATCACAGACTGTATCCGAGCTACAATACCCGTCCGGGTCATTCTTCAAACCGTCGGAGCGTGGCAACCGAGCTGGCAAGATACGTCCCAGTTACTCAGCCTTCGATTCCACCGGGATACAGTGCGCCTCAAGGTTCTGTGTACGGGCCCAATGTCCTGCAGAATACTATGGCAAGGCTTCAAGCAAGCCGGCAGATGTTACAGCAGGCGGGAAGATCGGTCTTTGAAGGATTTTCGTCGTACTTCTCACCCTCAGGCTCTTCCGGCTTGCCCACTGGACTTTCTGCTGATGATTACTATGCTTCGTTGAAGGGTTACAGGTATGCTGCCCTGCGCCTTGATATTGCAACTGCATCATTATGCTAACAATATTTTCTCGATCTAGTGATTTCTCTGAGCCTGGTGTGGATCCCAAGCAAGTCCAGGAAGAAATCAAACAATTGCTCGAAACGATCAGACCAGACACCGAAATTGCCAAGGAAAAGCGGGAAGGCACCCCAGAGGCGCTTAGGTACACTTTGCTGGAGCATCAGAAACTGGGGCTTACCTGGATGAAGACCATGGAAGAGAGCGAAAAGAAAGGTGGTATCCTGGCTGACGACATGGGTTTGGGAAAGACCATACAAGCCATTGCTCTCATGGTGTCCCGCCCGTCTACGGATCCAGAGCGGAAACCCACACTGATTGTTGCTCCGGTCTCTTTAATGCAGCAGTGGAAGCGAGAGATTCAGAAGGCTGTCAAGCCGGGTAGGCATCAACTTTCAGTCTATGTTCTACACGGTGACAAGCGAGCGGTCAGCTACAGAGACCTGAAAGACTACGACGTGGTCCTCACCACGTTCGGAACCTTGTCCTCGGAACTGAAGCGCAGGGAAAAGTATGACGAACTACAGTCGGCTGGCGCGAATGAGGAGGCTCTATCCCGAACTTTGCTGAAGAACCTGCCATGCCTCGGCCCGAGCAGTCTGTGGCACCGAATCATCATAGACGAAGCTCAGTGCATCAAGAATCGAAATACGAGATCCGCGCAAGCATGTTGCCGTCTCAATTCCACCTATCGTTGGTGTATGAGCGGAACTCCAATGATGAACACTGTCGAAGAACTACAGTCGTTGTTGAAATTCCTCCGGATCAGACCTTATTCCAGCATCGATCGTTTCAACAAGGTAAGTGTCGATGATCACGTCGTGTTCGGCCAATTGAAGATTGACCAATCTTTTTAGGACTTCACCCGACCACTCAAGGGTCCGCCTGGCGAGCCTCGCGATAAAGCTATGCAACAACTGCAGGTTCTGGTGAAGGCTGTTCTGCTTAGACGGACCAAGACATCGAAGATTGACGGCCAGCCGATCCTACGGCTTCCACCCAGGGTTTTAGAGAAGGTTCATGCTGTGTTCAGCGAGGATGAACAGGCCATCTATGATGCGCTTGAGAGCAAAACTCAGGTTCAGTTCAACAAGTATCTCAGGGCTAACGCTATTGGAAGAAACTACTCCAACATCCTCGTTCTGCTTCTTCGGCTTCGTCAGGCTTGCTGCCACCCACACTTGATGACTGATTTTAGTGTCGAGGTCAATGCTGCTACTGACGAGTTGGACCTTGTTGCCAATGCGAAAGCTTTCGGAGACGAGGTTGTGGTCCGTCTCAAGGAGAACGAAAATCTTGAGTGCCCCATTTGTATCGACGCAGTTGACAATCCCATTATATTTTTTCCATGCGGTCATAGCGCTTGTGCCGAGTGTTTCTCAAGGATGACCGATCCCTCACTTGCCGTGCAGCGTGGTGAAGATGGTGCAGCGGAGATCAAATGTCCGAACTGTCGCGGTCGTGTCGATCCGAAGAAGGTCACCGACCATCTGACGTTCAAGAAGGTCCATTCTCCGGATGCGGATGATCCCGATCAAGTGGGGTCCCTTAAGCCTCTTCGTGACGAAGAAGATGATGACGATAGCGATGACGACGACGACGACGACGACGACGACGACGACGACGACGACGACGACGATGACAGTTTGTCTCGATTCATCGTTGATGACGAGGATGACCCAGCATCAGTCAGAAAGCCCAAGACAAAGAAGGGAAAGAAAGCCAAGAAGACCAAGAAGAGCCTTGCGGAACTCAAGAAGGAGGCATCGAAGAATATCAAGTCGAAACAGAAGTACCTTCGCCGATTGGAGAAAACCTGGGTCACCAGTGCAAAGATTGAGAAGACTCTCGAAATCCTTCAGGAGATTCAGGATCGCGAGGATAGCGAGAAGACCATCATCTTTAGCCAGTTCACGTCGCTGCTGGATCTCCTCGAGGTCCCAATCGTGCGTCGAGGCTGGGGCTATCGCCGCTATGACGGCAGCATGAGACCTGGTGATCGAAATGCCGCCGTCCTGGAATTCACCGACAACCCAGACTGCAAGATTATGCTGGTTTCCCTGAAAGCCGGCAACGCGGGCCTGAACCTCGTCGCTGCATCTCAGGTCATCATCTTCGACCCCTTCTGGAACCCCTACATTGAGGACCAGGCCATCGACCGTGCTCATCGCATTGGACAGATGCGCCAGGTTCATATCCATCGAATCCTTGTACAAAAGACAGTCGAGGACCGTATCCTCGAACTTCAGGAGAAAAAGCGCGAGGTCATTGATGGTGCTCTGGACGAGAAGGCCCAGAAGAAGGTGTCTCGCCTGGGAACTCAGGAACTGGCCTATTTATTCGTATGCGAGTCCATCCCCCAATCCTTTGTACAAGAGACTAACTGAATTTTTTCTACAGGGCGTTCGGTAACGGCTCCTTATCTTTCGATATGCGCGGTATGGCGTTGGCGGCATTCTACGCTCGGATTCAACGTTACTTCAGATACGATACCCTACATCGCTACCTTTCCCCTTCTTATTTTGTATTTGACTTCTTTCCTATCTACATTCCGGACAAGCTGTATCATTATAGACTCAGAGCAGCAGATAGGTTGCAGTCTTGACCTTAATCATAGAATTTCATACTATGTCACAAACACTGCTCACATACATCCATAATGACTACGCCAATCTGCCTAAGTAGTGATCAAGTGAGGTAGTTCATGGACGTTGTAATACAAGTGATTGAGACAAAGTGCTGTTCTTTTGACCTAATCCAATAAAAGAAAAGCCTATGACATCACCCACAATAAGCGATTAATTGAAGAGGTTGCTTCTTGGAATTCCAGGGAATCAACAAGATACCATATGGGGCGAACGTTTGCTACCTTATGGATGCCATAGATTAGTCTACCTAGGTAGTAGATATGTCTATTTGCCCTGCAGTGGCTTACGCTGTAAGGCTATGTATGGGAGTAAGGAGTAACCCCCTCGAAGCAGAGAGACGGTATGGAAACTTTTCGACCATCCGTAGACAGCCCAATCTTGTCAACAGATTTGCTTTTTGTTTGTCGTAAATAAAGTTATCGTTTGCGAAAAAGAAAAGGAAAAAGGGAGAAAAATTGTGATAAGCGTCTAAACTACTAGTTGTGTAAGATTCCAATGCATGACAGTGCCGACCTTTCCCTTCAGGCTATTTCCACCGACCGCTATCGTTGTATCGTAACTTGAGGCATGGCGTAACGAATCCAAATGACCGGAGGAAACCGCAGGCATGGATGGATGACTGCAATTCCCCCGATCCGATCTGCGCGATACGCTTACAGATCAGCATCCTCCTCGTCGGGCAGAGGCATGGCAGCAGCGCTCTCCATCTCCTTCTCGTACTCAGCCATGAGCTGTGGGTTGACAGCGACCTCAGGAGGAGCAAGAGCAGGGGCAGCAACGAATTCCTGAGTCGGCGTGTTAGTTGAAAGTACAATCACAAGGCTATATAGGCACGAAAACTCACCAGGGCGGCGTTGCCGACCAGCTTGCGGGCGAGCCACAGGAAGGGCTTCTCGAAGTTGTAGTTGGACTTGGCCGAGATATCGTAGTACTGGAGGTTCTTCTTGCGGTGGAAAGTAATGGTCTTGGCCTTCACCTTGCGCTCCTTAACATCGACCTTGTTACCGCAGAGAACGATGGGGATGTTCTCGCAGACACGGACGAGATCACCTGTTTCGTGATGATCAGTATGGCCATCACTCTCCATTAAGTCGACAATCACTTACGGTGCCAGTTGGGGACGTTCTTGTACGTGATACGGGAGGTGACATCGAACATAATGATACCGCACTGGCCGTTGATGTAGTATCCATCTCTCAGGCCGCCGAACTTCTCCTGACCGGCTGTGTCCCATACATCGAACTGAATCGTTCCCAGGTTCTATCGCGAAAAAGTTAGTCGGCTCGGAGAAGCAAAGTGGAACGATAGAGCGGGGTTGTTGGCGGGGCATACGGTGGTGAAGGTCAGAGGGTGCACTTCGACACCGAGGGTTGCGATGTACTTCTTTTCGAATTCACCAGTAAGGTGGCGCTTGACGAAGGTGGTCTACAATGTAAGAATGTTAGCAACCTCGCAGGAACTTCGACACTGGGTGAATTTTTTTCTCGTCGGCGGGCGGGGGCGATGAAGAAATCAAGCCCACGCAAGTAGGTCAATGAGCGTCGACCCTTCGTAGAATGCAGGCAGAGCAAGATACTGCAGGTCAAGAGGAAAAAGCAATATGAGGGTGATTTTACTTGCCTTACCAGTACCACCGTCACCAACAAGGACGAGCTTGAAGGTTGGTGTAGTAGGAGCAGCCATGGCGATGATTCTGTGACGTTTGCAAATGAAATAAAGTCAAGTCGCGAAAAAAATCACGCTGTATTTATAATATGGAAAGTCGTCAAAAAATATGCGACAGTTGATGGAGAGAAGTGTGTTCAACAGAACGGCTGAAGCCAGGGAGAAGCAGAGCGAAAGACTATTCTGGTGATGGAATTTTTGCCCCGAGTCGGTCACAACAGGTTGAAGTCACGTGTTGTTGCCTGAGGATGACAGTGCCCCACGAGATAGTTAACTAGCAGTCCAAGGACGCCTGAGGGCACGTGCAGCCAGTAGATCTACGAAAAACAACGCTGTGCAGAGTACGATTTTCCCAAATATCTCTCTTGATTTGTCCATGTTCTACATCTTTTACAGATTAGGCACGAAGGTACCTCGGAGTTCCATGCATCGATTATTAATACATTCTCCCTCGGACTTCAGGTCTCCGCTTGCAGCCTAAACAAACAGTAACGCCAATTTATGCTTGATCCTACCTTCGACACGATCATAAAAGCCATACCACATTTCTCGTCAGAGCACAAGAAGAGGAGCAAGGCACGATCAGACGTCATGACGAAATACATTTCCTCCTGCTGCGCCATTGAGCCAGTGTCAATCCGGCCTGCGGTTCTCCTGTCACAGTGGAACAAGGTGACAACCTAACAAACCACGACCTCCCCAATCACGGCGTGGTATGAGTTCTAAACTCAGCTCAGTAGTATTATTGGACGCAGGTCCGTCCTTTCTTACGATCTTGACGACGATTGTGCGCTGCGTAAAGTCAGCCAGGTGTAGCTTGAGAAGATGATGCGACCACTTACTCCTTCGTTCTGTTGCACTGTTTGTGCTACCTTAGATAGACGTTCGTGATTGATCCAGTTCACATTTCCGAAGCTTCGTATGGTGTCCCCGGCCTTCAACCCAGCCTGATCCGCAGGGCTACCGGGCACCACGCTGTTCACCTTGGCAAATGGCGTTCCAATCATTTCAGCATCTGATAAACTGTTCTCACCCAAGTTGCTTCGTTGAACTGCAGTCCCGTTCATACCGCCAGCGGCAACGGCGGCTTGTGCACGTTGAAGACTGGCAAAATGCTCATGGAGACCCTTTTCGAGATGTCTCATTACTTCTTTGTGGTCGGTTCGCAGGTGAATTATCCGTGCTCGTGTCGTGCGGACTATGCTTCAGATTTAGTTTCCGTACCGCATATGGAAATCCGATGAACCTTACTCTGCGCAACGTCGATATCGTCTCGCGGAAAACCATCAAAGGTCGTGAGGGACGTGTTCATATTCACGCCATGCTGTAAACACATTGTCAGTCGTAACATCCGGAGACGTCTGGGTAAATCCGATCGACTCACAGATGTCAGCACGGCGCTAAGGGCCGACAGTTCTGCTTCGATGCGTTCCTTGTCTTGCATCAGGTCCACCATGGTCAACTTGGACAGGTCGAGGGGAACCCCTCCGGACGTAGGTCCAGAGGGTACAGTGGGGGCGTGAATATTATCGTTCATGGGTATTCCCATCCCTTGATGACGAGGTATAGTTAGACCATCGTAGTGCTGTTTGGTGAGTTGTTGGTTGTAGTCGAAGAGAGCTAACTGATGGGCAATAGTGGCGGGCCCACCTTGAAGATAAGTCGATAACCTGTGGGGTCGGAAAGGCTCCTTTGCTGTTCTTGGCACATCCAGCTTCCATTTTCCACTAACTTATCTACACTGGAGAGTGGAGAGTATGGGTAGATTCAAGCCACCAAAGAATGGAATAGACGTTTTCAATTACTCCTGTGTTTGTATTCCTTTCGTGTATTTTATCAACCAGGAAGGATGCTATGAACGTGTTGTCGCAGTGTTCTCCTGCTATACCTCTCTAGAGAACATGACAAGCAGAAAGATGCAGAAACGCAAGGCAAACAGAAGGTGGATGGACAGTATAGCATTGCAGATGGTCAAATTTCAGGTCCCCCAGATCCTACAGCAGGCGTCTAGAGTCATGTTCTGTTTGTCATTGCTTCCTCCGCGCCGGTCGCAGCTTCCATAAAGTTGATTGACTTGACTCCTGCCGCGCCTACTGGTTTCTGCACGCCTGCACTATGATCTTTGAAACGAACTTCTCGAACTTGCTATTCAGACAGTTCATACTCCAGTTCTTCTGGAATCAGACTCGCATGCTCACGTAACATGGAAGAGTCAAAAGAGGATACCCCATCCGAAACACCGCTTCTTCCCGTGGAACCTCCGAACTCAGATGTGAAAGTAGTGGATGCGAGTGATACAGTTCACGACTCTGGAGGACGAACAACTGATTCAGGATCGTTCAGGAGATGGTTTGAAGAGTTCTGGCTGAAGAGGAGTCCTCCTTCTCCAGCCCAGAAACACGTTGACGGTTGGCCCGAGATCCTCTTGACCAAGTGCTTCAACGACGACTGGTCACCTCACTGCGGCCTTCAAGATCAGCAATGGGAACAATTATCGGCCCATTCGTCACATCTGGGGATCGTCAAAACAGCAAGCTTCACTGACCAAAGCGTAGGGAGATCAAGGGCGGCAACACAGAGCACCTTCAACCCTAGCATACATTCGGGCGGTCGTGGTTCAATCGAGAGTTTGAGGCCCAGTGTCAGCCCTTCGATATCCCATGCAGTGCTACTTCACTCTCTTGAGAGGCGTCAAATACTTCGGGAGATCATCACTACTGAAACTGACTACGTGTTCGGGTTGAAGGCCCTTGCTGATGTATGCCCGAAAGTAGTATCTGGTGCAATTGATCTTGAAACTGACTTTTTCCCGTCAATCGACCAGGTACTTCTCATTTGTTCCGTCAGACCCCGGATATATCGCAACGTGCAACGCATTCGAGAACTACACCAGACCTTCTTGGCAAGGGCTCGTGCCGTGAGCCCCAAGTCCGTTTCGGCTGCATCCGAGGTCGATAAGCTGTTCCCTCAGGGCGTTGCTAAAGGCTTGAGGGCGATTGACTTGAAACGCCTTAATAACCTTCAAAGCAGATCCTTGAGGAAGCACAGCCTGAAGACGTCGATAATTGCCCACCTCAACTCATTGGCTGCGCAAGGTTCGGAAGCCTATGACATCGCGTATGAGATTGCTGAACTGGTACGTGTTGGAATCCAGGCTCACTCTTTATTGTGCTAACTCTTTTCTGTGCAGTCAAAGTCCTTCAAGCTTTATGAAGACTTCTGTAGCAATTTTGAACTACTCTTGCAAGACGTGAGCCTCCTGCGCGGGTCAATCCCGAATTGGGAAACCTTCGAAGGAGGCATAGAATCTCTTTCGAAGTCTGTGACGTCCTTAGAGAACAAGCTCTTGACAGATAATAGATCAATGTCTTTGAGTGACCTCGTCGTCAAGGTTTTTCCAAACCCAGCTTCCAAGACCGCCATCTCTGTGCTAACTAGCCTCAGCCAGTTCAGCGCCTTTGTAAGTATGAGCTGTTCTTGAGGGAACTACTAAAGTGCACGCCAATCCAAGATGACCCGTTATCGCATGACAAAATCAAGGAAGTACTGGATGGTCTTCGCCCAACGATCGAGCGCGTCAATCAAGCCAATGAAACTCTCAAGCAAAGGGAACTCATTGCAAAAACCCTCTTGCTGAGAGAAAAGCTGGATTTGCCAGAGCCGGTGAGCAACATAGTAACCTTCCTTAATCGCAGAGATCACTGACAAACAGGGATCCGGTATGCAGGACATTGTTCACGATATCTACCTACAATTGGGACCCATCAAACTATGTGGCGTCCTTCATGCGACCTACCAGTTACCGGCAGATATTGTGGGTGAATACGTCGTCTGCGCTCTGTTTGAGAGCTATCTTGTTCTGGCTGCTTCGAGAGACGGCTGTTCAAGACTCCAGGCTGTGGCATGCCTGTACGTCCGTCATCTCAAGATCGACACCTTGAGAAACGGGAGAGGTAAGCGGCATACATCCCGACCCTTTTAACCTCTTCCCCTGTCCGTGGCTCACGCTTAATCTCGGTACAGGGCTATGTTGCTACGGATGCTTATTCTCGTGGAAGGTGATATTTGAACATCGAAATAATCAGTACGAGCTCGTCTTGAGCGCGTCATCGGCTATTGAAGAGAAGCAATGGAAAACTGAGATACTTAGGGCGGCGGCGGCATTGACCGAAGTTTCGACAACAGGACAGTCGGAATCAAATCTATACTCCTTTGAGGTGCTAGGTCTACTCCCGCTTGAATGCTCGACGGGTTTAACAACTCTCTTGTCCCGAAAAACTTCAATCCACTCATTGGCCACTTCTGCGCGTAAGGCGAATTTGCAGCATATTGTGATCAGGAAAACGCACAAGCCTGGAGAGGCATCGCCTGAGGCGGATGGAGTAATCGAACGCCCAAAGATTCCCCCTTGGGCCTCGGCGCTGGTCCTGACAGCAAGAAGACAAGATAGAGTTGATCTGGAACGATTCATCTTCAACATATATACAAAGAGCTCACTGCCTTATCCTGGAATGCCTCCTGCCAAAGGCAAGGACTTGCTCAAGCCAAGTAAGCTCATGGTAGCTATCCGGGAAGGGGTGTACAGGCGTTCTAGCTCCGGGGGTCTTCCAACCGCTAGGCGTCCTGCCATTGTACTTGCTCCTGCAAAAACCAGCAAAAACGAGCAAAGCGGCCGGGGTGAGGGTAGAACTGACGAATCGCCTGTTATCGAGGACAAGAAGAAGGCTGCCTCGCCTATGAGTCGCATGGGAACGGTTCGACGAGCTCTAACTGTGAGGTTTCAGGCCAGACACAAGTCTGCTTCTCATGCTGATCTGCCTTTGCAGTATAAGGGGCAATCAGACCAACCTTTTCCCAAGGTGTCAGTACGAGGGATCTTCAACTCTGTATCTCGGAGGGGCTCAAAGAGGGCTTTGCATTTAGCTTTGAGCATGGATGGTGGAGCATAATGATGCAATGCACATTGAAAGTACGACAGACACGCCATGGATCACTGTCAGGGATACAGAAATGGTATACTATTATTATTATGATCACTTTTTGTTCTCTTTGCTTCGATAGGCAGTGGGGTCGCCGGGTTAGTGTGGGTAAAGGACTGGGGATAGGCATGGCTGGCATTGCTGCACCCTTGGCGAGACGTAATAGAATAGCATAGGAGGCCACGGATTAGATTAGCCTAAGCTCAAAGTCGAATAACGGTGACAAGTGTGTGAATTACATGATGAAAGATCTCCCCACCAGTCTTCCCTGTAGCAGTCAATCGGCTGGGTTGCTCTAGGCAAAGCGGATCCATCAACAGTACTCTGTAAATGGAGGATGAAGTTGTAACTGGGAGAGACCGATGACGTCGGAGGGGTCGACGGCTGTGCAGGTTCCTCAACAGACGACCTTATATAAGGAGGACACTGTCTGCAGCAGTAATCAATAATTGACTTCAGCTAAAACAACATCCAATTCCTGTCTGACACGCATCGTTTATATCATTTTCCCCTCTTTGCTAGACACTTGGTTCTCATACTGTGAGCTTCCTCTCCGCATAGCACCTTCGTGACGTCATCAACCATCACCTCACGCGGTCAGTCCTGACACCCTCTCGAACTTCCCAGAAGCGTGACTTTTCCTTCAGAAAGCCATCTTCAATCGATTCTTCATACGTCGACTTCATACCTTAAACATTACAAGAAACCAAACAAAATGCGTGCCAACGATCCCAGCTCCAAGGTCTTCTACAAGGGCAACTCCGACGACTTCATCGTCTTCGTCGATGACCCCGCGGCCCTCAAGAACTGGAAGAACGACCGCTCAATCCCCCTGTCCGATGTGGTAAACGGATTCAAGATTTTCGTTACTCACAGGTATGTTTTACACAATTAATTTGATATGAATCCAGCTATACCCCCGTCAGTGCAAGTGCAGATGCAACCATATGCTAACCATGGCGGACTAGACACGGATCCCAGGGTGTGCTCGACGGCGCCAGCAACGCCAGTCTGGACAATGAGTTCGGGACTCACAATATCGACGATTGCATTGTGAAAATTCTGGAGAGGGGGACTTTCCAGACTTATACTGTAAGTTTTCTTTCTAATCTGCAGGGATAGCTATGGCGGAAGCTGATTCTGGAGCAGCAAACTGAGCACCAGGCCGATACGAACATGACCAATGGGCCTGCTTTCCGGTAGATTGGGGTCGTGGTTGTGGTTGTTCTTCGTGGGCTATGCTGCACTACATTCTATGAGCGATGATGATTTATGGGTTTCCTTCACCCGGTGGAAGGGATCTGGGGATATGTACCTTATGATAGCCATTCAATGAATAATGGATAGCGTACTGAGCTTGCTATCCTGATATCAATACATGAGTTCAGACTTCGGTTTAACTGCGTTGAAATTTCGTAGATCATTATCGTGTGTCTATATACTTATGGCAGTAGTCTATATGCTATATGCATCATTGGCTAGGCAGCTTGCCCGCAAGAGCCTCACGGCGCTGGACAACCCAGCTCCCCAATTCGTTCCACACGGCCTGTTTCTCCGCGATACTCATCCCAGCAGCCAGGCCGCTCGTCGTCGTCGCGACAAACACCCGCGCCCCTTCCCATCCATCAGGGCCATCACATCGCCCCATATTCTCCGCCTCATCTTGCCAGCCATACCGGAACTCCTCCTTGCGGATCGGTCTCCCCTTGCGCACCCGCCACACAGCCTCCCAGATACTCTTGCCCACGAGACAGACCGCCTCGGGCCGCTGCTTCGCGACCTTGGCCTCGAGGACGGGGACACCCGCGTTCATCTCGGCCTTACTGAGCATGCTGGCGTCTCGCGTTGGACGCTCGACGATATTCGTGTTCCCGATGTTGTAGAGCTCCGGCAGGCGGTAGGTGTCTGAGGGCGGGTGGCGGATGGGGGTGATGCCGGACCAGTGCAGGAGTTTCCAGAAGAGGTTGGAGGGGTGCGCGTAGGCGAAGCCTGTGGTGCCGGTCATGATGCCTGGGTTTACGCCGACCAGGAGTAGGGTGAGATTCGGCGGGATGGTGTCGCGGAGGAGGCAGGTGGAGGATGTAGCTGGTGTAGAGGGTTGTCGGCGGCGGGATCTAGAGCGGGAGGTCTCGTCGGGTGTTGTGGACGGTGTGAGAGGGGAGTTGGGCGTTGATGGAGGTAGAGAGGTGGTGGAAGAAGCGGAGCGAGAACGGGTGATGCGAGGTGTGAGGCTGGTGGTTACGGGTGAGGATCGGCTTGAACGGAGGGTTCGTGGTCGTTTGATGGGCAGTTGAAGTGTCGAGGCGTTGCTGGATGGATCACTGGGTGGTTCTGAGTGAGACTCGGGTTTGCGCTTGATCGTTGCGGTTGGGAGATTCGGCGCTGAGGCAACCTTTGACAGCGACTCTCTTATCGGTGCGAAGTTCTTGGATGCATGAAAGTATTGGTTCAGTCTGCCGTTGAAAGTGGTCTTTTTGTTCACGGGAACATCATTTTCGTCGTCGATGCCGGCTTCATCTTGATATGCTTGAGAAATATCCTCAGCAACAGAAGCAGGTGGCGACATATCTGCTGTTGGTGAAGACCTTGCTGGAAGGGATTAGTGGTGGAGTCAGTGTTTCTCGCAAGATGTCAGGAGACGGCCAGCAAGGAGCTCATAAACCCTTCGATCCTGATACTATTGACTCGAATGATTTTGTGAAGTCTGCATTTGATTATTCTGCGAGATATCTACCCTGGGAAATCCTGTACTGGGATCCAATCATGACGACCTTGCCACTCAGGCACAGTTGCTGGCGGTCATGTGACTATTCCAAGGTTTGGCATTAAGCTGGGCGAGGCACAGATTTCTTGATCAGTAACTCTGATTATATGTCCAGGTAAATGTTATATATACATCAGCAAGTACCACTGGCCTCTTGCAGCTTCGACTTCTAGACCGGCCACTACACCGGTGGCATATGTTACAGTCCCATAATCGCTCCAGGTCTTCTGGGGGCGGAGTATTAATTCTTCAGGTTTCAACGCCTTTCCTTCTGTTCATAATTCGTTACGTCGTATATTCGCTTCGTGGCATGTAGGGTGTTTCGGTAAAATGATATTGAACTGCTACACTTTGAGAAAGTGCCGTTTCGGCAAAGTCCACGGCTCCGGACATACAACCTGTCATTCGTCAGATAATGTATGCGAGGAAATCGAACACAAGTCTCACCTCGCCTTCGGTGTACGCCCAGAAGTAGACCGCAATTCCGATCAGATAGTAGATGGCAGGATCCGTCCCCTGGTAGAGAAGGGCAGCGAGGAGAGCGCTCAGAGGGTACATGATGAGTCGCACTTCGATGCTGCGGTGTGGCAGGGTTCCAGCGAGGAGGTTCAACGGCCATTCCCATGCGATGCCGAGCAGGCCCATTATGAGGTTGAGGATTTGGAGTATCGGGGTAGGTTTTACAGCGCCGTTAAGATTTCTTGTGGTGAAGTCCCAGAATATCTTGGGCCAGATGAAGCACTCCACAGCGCTGCCTACTTGATCTAGGATGACTATGTGTCAGCTGGTCCTGCTGTAGTTTGAAGATTGAGGAATCGCATACAAGCTGCAGCGGTGAGGATGATCAAACGGGCCCAGTGGTTTTTGATCAGTCTTCCCATTGCGACGAAATACGACAGGTGATCGAGGGCTAAGATGCTGTATATTTGACAAGCAGGCTTTCGTCCAGCGAAAGACTTCCATGCAGAGATCGAGGGCTCAGTATCGATCAGCGTTGTCGTGGACCGAAATCAGACACCCGCTTTGCCAGTTGGTCTCGCATATGGAATGATCGGTGACAGTAACATGGCAGTTGAACAATGGTACGGTTACTCTTATCTTCCCATGAGTCGAGTCGGATTGTAAAAATTAAGGTTTGTATCACGGATATCACATCAACCGAGACGATCAATGCGTCGAACTCAGACGACAAAGGCTTGCGAAGAAAGGTGAAGATAGCGTGATGGCATGATGAGTGGGAAGGGAAGCGATTAGTTACATAGATAGCTCACAGTGCCAAATCAGCAACGCGAGGGAGACCACATGATCACTAGCGAGGATTTCTCCACGCAGTAGTGCAGAATCATAAAAATAAGTACTTGGCACTGTTGGGGATTCCTCGTTCTGGGATTGTCAGAGCAACTGTGACACGCGCAGTGTCTGATCAATCGCCTTAGAAGCTGAGAACCAATTGAAGCGACAGGCCGCTCGAGGCCGTCGAAGCCCCTCTTGGCTTCTTCATGCAGAGAGTGAAAAAGCATGAACGATTGGGCGAGAGCATGGACACTAGCGAATAGACTAAATGAATTCGAGCTGGCAAATCCTGGAGATGTCGAAGCTGGTAGGTTGGCAGTCCCTGGTCAGGCGCTATGCGAAGTGCAGGTTGAGCGAGTAAGAGGACGAATGGGAGAAGAGACAGAGTGTGACAGACTGCAGGAGATTAGCGGGAACACGCTTTAGCGGCCGATGCAGCTGTGTGATAACAATCCTCCAAAGACCGAGTCGAGCTGTCTATCATCTTGCGAATATCGGACTTCAGTTACTGGAAAAGGAAAATAGTAGTGGATTGTAGAGTTACGGCACCGCAAAGACTCGACCGAGAACAAGATGTCCCTTATTCTCATGAACATCTTCTTCCGATGAGTCGACTGTGACACTTCTACAGAAAGTACAGTATAGTTCTCTAAGGGCGCTGAGGAGAATTTAAGAAACTGATATGCGCATGGACTTATTGTATATGAGACAGTCGAGAAACGTTCGGGATGATCCATTCAAGCTTATACTTCGGGATATGTCAAAGAACAGAGTTCGTCTCACCGTCTTTTCAGCTCATTGTTCTTCGTTTTTAGCTAGAACAAGGTAGATATCTAAAGTGACGGAGTCTATACCTCTGAGCCCACGTGCATATCTTATGATAATCCTACCCCTCGTTTTGTATTCCTTTTCAGGAACGATTCTTCAGGCCCTAGAGAGCGGCGAAAAGTCGGGGATATTGTCGACTTTGGATTGGTGGTGAATATCTATGAATAGACATAAGGTATTTAGATACCTGGCATCAACAGGCCTCGATGACTATATTTGGCATCAATTTAATACGAACAACATGAAGGCACCAAGAGCATTGACATACTTATCTGGGGGAGGCGTTCTGATTGAGATGCAGGAGTTTGTCCTCTGATTGGCCAGAATAAATGTGACGGAGATGAGCGCCTGCAGAATGGCTCTGATTGGTCAGTCGGCTGTTCCCTTCGCTGATGGACTGACTACAGAGTGCCTAGATAGAGACCAGGATAGAGACTATCCAGGTGCCTTCATTCGGGCCCACAAGAGTTAAAAATAAATCAACGCAGATATTGACCAGTGTATCTACTAGCCAGGATGGTTCATGATTGATCCTGGTACCACATGGTTCGCTGCTGGAGCCCCCAGGATTTGAGAACGCCAGTGGAACTTGGGAGAAGCAGGAAAAAGACAGCGAGAGGACGAGGAGAAAAGACAGCCCTTGGCAATTCTCCATAATAACCGGCAAGTTCGAACGAGGACTCGTAATAGGCATGATATCTATCATACTCTGACGATCTCGGCATGCTATTGACCCAGAAGAGATCATATCCGAAGAGTGACACAGGTCAGTCAGTTTACGCATTCATCGTATGATTGTAATTGGCAGTGGATCGTCAAAGCTCAATGTGTAAATGAGTATCTATATGGAGTAGATAGATGGATGGGATTTGTGACGATACTGGCCAGCCACAGAAAGATTGGAAGGGAGGCATCATTTAAAGAAGTAAATAAACGCCCAAGTGTATGGGCATGGACGTTTGCCAGGATAACTACTATTGACTTGTGCTAAAAACTCAAAATACAGCACTGTCCAGTAAATGATTAAATATAGAATACTTAGAAAGATCATTAGCCAAGGGAAGATTTAATTTAGTATTATGCCCTGTGCTGGTGGCTTCTTTGACCCCTTCCCCCTCTTTCTTCCTCCCTGCAGCCAAACCACAACGCTGGGAAACCAAACAAGCGACCTAAGCGAACTTCCTGCAAAAAAAAAAAAACCTTCTCAACGTCATCCTATCCTATCTGACGAGTTCGATCTGTCTGTTCATCCGTCCTAGATGCTATCCCTTTTTCTTTCTTTTGATGCCATTAGACTTTCTTGATCATGATTCTGTTCGTCTCGGCTTCTGTTTTTGACAGTCACTCACCCTGTAGCGTTGGCCGTTAACCTGTCCAGCAGCGCAACACTTACGCGCCGCATTGCGATCTTCTCTTGGCCATACTAACCGCGAAAGGTCCTATATGGAGGCTCTTAGCCCTGGTAGATCTGACATTGACAAGAAATATCAGTATATGACCTTGTCTCGGTTATCACCCCTGAAGCGACTGCGTTCGACATCCATCACGAACTCCCGAGCCGGCTGCCGACCCTTGGGTTCATGATTTCAATCTTTATTTGAAAGAATTTAGAAGTAGTCGACTGTTCCAACATTGTTATTAATCCAGCCGGGAACCCTCCAGGAGTAATCGATCATCGCCGGTCGATGATTCCCAATTCTCTATCCGGATATTCACATCCTCCAACTCTGGCCCATCAACATGCGGCATCCACTGTCCTCACAATTCACAGGATCTAAGATTTTGTTTTACGTTCTGTTCTGGGGTGTACATATTGGCATCTTCGCCGCAGGATGGTACGTTCGGATATAGCTTGAGGGACCGGATGACACTGACTGATATGCGTTCAGGTACATACAAGCATCAAACCACAAACTGGACGCTCTCAATGCATTGAAGTGGTCTGTGTGGTTCTCCAGAGCGGCAGGTCTGGTCTTGACCGTTGATGGGACTCTTATCCTGCTACCCATGTGCCGGAACCTCATTACTCTCGCCAGACCCCGAATTCGATGGCTGCCTCTTGACGAATCTATATGGTTCCATCGCCAGGTAGCGTATGCGCTGCTCATCTTCACTATCATACACGTTGCTTCCCATTATGTCAAGTAAGTCAGACGCGGTTGAAATACTATGTGGAGATTGCTAATCCGCCGAAGTTTCTACAACATCGAGAAAGACAAAATCCGCCCCGTAACTGCTACCCAGCTTCATTATACCCAGGCAGGTGGAATCACCGGCCATGTCATGCTCCTGTGCATGATGCTTATGTATACAACTTCCCACCATCGCATCCGACAGCAGTCTTTCGAGACGTTCTGGTACACGCACCACCTGTTCATTCCTTTCCTGCTGGCCCTCTACACGCATGCAACTGGTTGCTTCGTGCGGGACACTCCAGAACCAACTTCCCCATTTGCGGGGAAGAGGTTTTGGAACCATTGCATTGGTTACCAAGGTTGGAGGTGGGAACTGGTAGGGGGCAGTCTCTACCTCATGGAGAGGCTCTACCGCGAGATTCGGTCCAGACGGGCCACCGTCATCACAAAGGTGATCCGTCATCCATATGGTAAGCGACACCTCCGCTGTTACAGCGCTTGATGTTGGCTCACAATTCGTCAGATGCGATGGAAATCCAGTTTCGC